AGGACAGGTTTTCGGGTTATTAATTAAATTGTTAGGGAAAATAACTTGTCTTGGTTATTACTTATTTTATACGTAGGCCTGTCTGGGTTGATAATACTAGGCATTAGTTCGGGTTATTAATTCCAGATTTTCGTCATGTGTAAAATTTATTTAATTGAGAATTTATAGACAATAAATTGGCTTAAGCCAGTAGAAATGGAATTGAGTAAACCGTTAAATTGAGATTATTTAAGACAAGCATTGATTCGACAGTAAAATGATTTTAGTAAATTATTCGGCGCATTATTTGTCTTAATTTAAATTAAAAGTAGAGTCCGAACATAATCATTTAAATCAATAGAATTGTTAGTCTAGATTATTTAATAAAGAGAAATTAGAATATAAAAGTTTGTATAAATTTCATCAGAAAAAAATTACTTGAGTCGTGGGACAAAGACGCTAGACCGAGCGAGAGCGTCAGCCATCTTGTCCGTGCGAGAAAACGCTGAGTAGAGGACACACAAGGTTGTAGCTAAAGTCTCTTAGTCATTGAAATAGAATAAACTCGAGTAAAATAAAATGTTAAGTTTTAAGAAACACAAAATAAATACAATAGGATAATCTCTTGTCGAAATTTAACTTTTGCGTCGAAGAATTGTAAAATTACCGCCGATATTGGATTAAATAAAATAGCTGGGAATAATATAATATGGATTAAATTAAATAATGGAAAATATTCAGGTTTACTCAACCAGGAATTTATTTAAGTTTATTCAAACAGGAATTTATATAGATCAAATTTAATTAATAAATTTCTTGGACATAATGAATGTATTTAATCCTGGATAATTTGGAAGAGTCATTTAGATAATTATTGTTGTAATAACTGAAGATACAGCAGTGATTTAGGTAATAGGAATTTGTTAATTGTATTTGAAATTCGGAAAAGGATAAACCGGAATTTTGGAAAATTTAATTAGATAAATAAAATTATGGAAATTGTTTTATTTTGTAATTCGAGCGCTCTTATTAGTATTGTTATTATTGGAATTTGGAAAATAGTGTGTTTGTGTGAGAGTAAAGAGACTATCTCGGTTCCATGGTATACTCCTCTGGCTTCGGGGTAGTTCTCTTAGAGTAGCGTGAAGTTTGGGGGACAGCGTGCGCTGTGTGGACAACGTGTGTAGTCACGTCAGAGGTCCAGCTCATTGGCGTGAGAGTCCGTGAGACCGCGCGAACTAAGTTAGAGTAGCGTTAGAGGTCCAGGGGACGACGCGAAGTAGATAGAGTATCGTGAGAGTCCAGTAGGCATCGGGTACTACAGCCACGTGAGGGTCTAGCTGGACAGCGAGAAATATACCGAATGAGTGTGAGTGTGAGTGTGGATTGTATCCATGAAGTTTTATATATTGTAATACTGGCCATATTTCAATTGTAAGAGGGATTGGATAAATAAATAATTTTTGTTAAATGAATTTCTGTGTTTTAATCCTAGCTCCTTTCAGCAATTCTCTCACGACCCTGACCTAGCACTCCATGTTCTGGTCCAGTTTCTGGAAACTGAGAACAAAAATCCAGTGGCGCCCTTAAGAGTAAAAGGGGCGACCAAGGGAAACATAACATTCCGTTTCAACACACACACACACACACACACACACACACACACACACACACACACACGCGCGCGCGCACGCACACACACACGCACACATTTATATATACATACATACATACAGGCACGGTGACATCACCGCGGAAATAGTCAGGAAAGCTTCCTAGGACCTCAAAACGTCGAGATCTGATGAAAACTCGATTTTCGAAAAACGCGGTAAAACCAATAACTTCCCGATTTTTGAAAATTTTCAATTTACTTAGCGGGAAGTTAATAAAATGAATGTTACTATTAACATGCTCCACCGATATTATAATGATGCGATTATATTGAAGAGTTCCTAATCCTGAAGCATTATATCGACGCCTGTAAAAATATCCGTGGAGCGTGCTAATAGACATACCTAAATAAAATATACGACCGTAGAACGCTACAACACGACTAACAAAGGATATAGCTAAGCCATGTGACATGTGAAGGGTTAGAAAAAAATTTCTTCATTAAAAAATAAAAAATTTAACAAGATTTTATTCCTTATCTGAAACAATTCCAACTTTCCTTTCTTGACCCAGAAATATTGAATCATAGTATATTACATACCTAGGGAAGTAAAGTAAGAAATGTCTCAGATCACATGTAATTGTCGGCCGAGGCGAAGCCGAGGTTGACAAACATGTGATCTGAGGCTTTCTTATTTACTTCCCGTGGAGTGTATACTATTTTTTTGCTCGACGAAGGCAGGAAGCGGCACTTTCGTTTAGCGCAGCGGGCCGAAAGTTGACGCTTTCTGCCCGTCGAGCAAAAAATAATTGCTATCATACAGAACTGTTTATATAACGTATTTTTCTATAGATTGATTAATTGATACACATTCCAAAAAAAAAAAAATCTGGAAAACGGTTGACCCTAAAGGCCATCCCTGCAACTTCCCGCTAATTTTATATCTAAGCGCTTAAAATTGCACTTATGACGTTTTTGAGCTCGAAGAGCATATAATTAGTATGTTATTTCGAGCTCTCCGATGTCATAGAGTTAGCTGTTCTAAGCTTTTGCGCTCTTTGAGCTCAAAAGTCTGATAGAAGTTGAATAAAACAGTACATTTTGAATTTTCCAACTGCAATAATTTCTGAATGAAAAAACTGATTTTCACGCGGTTGGCAGTATTCCACGCAGTTTTTTCAATTCTATGATATATTTTTGAACACAAACTGATCGAACTGAAAATTTTAGAGAAATTTGAAAAATTCATTTTTTCTGAATTTTTTCGACAACGATAACTTACGAATCAATCAACCGATTTTTACGTTCTTGGTGGCGATCGACGTGGTTTTTTGGGTTCTAATAATTATTCTATTTCATCAAAGTCGAGATCTGATGAAAACTCGATTTTCGCAAAACGCGATAAAACCAATAACTTCCCGATTTTTGAAAATTTTCAATTTTCTTAGCGGGAAGTTAAAAATATTTAAACTAAAAGAACATTATAGTTTTCAATATTTTGTTCTTGAATTAATAAACTTATTATTTTTAATTCAAGAAATGATTACAGAATTTGAATAAAGCAAATAACTATTTCATTGAAAAGCAACTTATTTTAAAAATGAGATAAACATTTTTTCGTCCAAAACTACAAGACTTTCTGAAATTAAGAAATGGTATTCACCGCTGAAGAAGAGTATGTTTATCTCAAGAACATTGATATTCTTGGCTGAATAACATAAATAACATTTTTATAAATTAAAAATAACGAAAAAAAAAAAATATCGACTATAGGACTCAAACTTCGCTGCTCGAGCTGGACCAGGCCGAGTACAACAATACAAGCCTCTCAGCCATTGCACGCTTTTTATGAGGATGATGTATTTATTGCTATATTAATAGTACCTGCTTTTGGTGGCGTTCTAAAGGCGTTGCGGTCTAATTGTCTAAAGCCAAGAACTTTGATATTCTTGAAAGAAGCTATTTGGCTTTGGAGCAAATGAAATCCCAAGGCAAAAATTTGAAGACTGGAATGAAACTGCCAATGTAATATTTTATTTGAAAATAGAACTGATTTAAATAAGAACATAATATTATTCAATCAAGATTTTAGTCATCTTCCGATAAAAGTTTTTAAGTCAAGAATATTGTTCTTGAGTCAAGATTGTTTTTTTTTCTGCGTAATTTTTTGTTTATTTTTTGGGGGCAAAATGGGGTACCTCCTGGAAAAGTGAAAAAAAAATTTATTGATCGGAAATGAAATATTGTTAAAAAAATAATATTTTCTTATCGATTATTCTACGAAAGAACCCAGACAGGTGAACAAATCGCTCAGAGAAGAAAAATTGTTAATTGAAGCAATATACTCTCAATAAAAATTGAGGCAGCAAAAAAATTTTTTAATATAACCTGCATTGAAAATGCGAGTTTCAATGCGACTGTTGCTAGACAGGAATCAATCATTTCTTTCCGGCGGGCAGAAAATGATGATTTTCTGCCCGCGAGATGAAGTTGCAGCTTTATTTTCAATCCTATCAGAGTATCTTTTGTTTATTTTATACCTTTATAATTGTCATTCTAACCGTTCACTGTACTGACATATTATAATTCTGTTACTAAGCATAAATATAAAAATGATAAAAGAAAACTATTCAATTTACGAATAATGTTTAATAAAAAATAAACCATTACTTTCTTGAAAAGTAGTTTTTAATTTTCTCAATAAGTTTTATAATAAAATGATATCTTCGCTATTCGTTTGAAACTATCGAGTTCTGGTTGGCTCCAGACATTGAAACTAGCATCTTTAATGCAACTTATATGAAAAATATAACCGTGTGACGCGGGATGAAACACGATTTCAGACCGAGTGATGTCAGAAATCGTTTTGTTTTCATATAAATTTTTTCCGTAGGGAATGGATGTGTCAGTTGGAAATAAAGCTATTGTCAATTATCTAAAATAAATCAAAGTTAATTTCTGAAAAAAATTTAAGAAAATCTAATACACTAACAATTTTAATACGATTTCGCAACCCATAAAAATCCCAGCCAGCAGTATGATGTCTTATGACGTCCTAAAGATCAGTTTAACTTGGTAACCGAATCTTAAAGAAGTCATATTGTTAGCTGGGATATGACTTCTACATTTAAAGGGCTTAAGTTCAAATGTAATTGATTTGAAAAGGAGCAATCCATTTAACTTTTTATTTTTTATCTTTATCTTTATATTTTTCAGATGATTTCTTCATCGTTAATTTTTCGATTTTTTAGTATATTTATGAAGACCAATTAAATTAATACATCAAGACAAAACTACCAGAATATAAATGGTCAACGTCAGAATAATAATAGAATATTCAAAACACTACCAAGAACAATAAAGAAAAAAACTCAATTTGTTTCAAAAAGGATAAAGTTATTTCTGCATAATGAAAGAAAAAAGTAAAAATGCGGCAAGGTCGCGCCGAGAAAAAGAGAATACAGAATTTCAAGAACTTGCTAAATTATTACCACTTCCAGCAGCGACAACTTCACAATTGGATAAAGCAAGTGTAATTCGATTAACAACAAGTTACTTGAAGATGAGAGCAGTGTTTCCAAATGGTTAGTTGAATTTTATTATAAAAATAATTGTCATATTTTCATTAGATTTCTTTAATCTATCAAAATATTCACAAAGAACCTATTGATTGACGTTTTCAGGGTTTTTTTAATTTTTTTTTAACGACAATCAGATACATGACACTTTGGTAAAGGGCAAATAGTATCGGATGAGATGGTTGTGATTGCGCACTTGATGTATTGTTAGCCCCCACGCTTTGTAAGCAAAGCATGAGGGTTGTTGTTATATTACAATAGCTGGTCTTTCAATTCCCTCGTAGTTGTCGTTCTTCTTGAGCCTTTGCTCAATTGAATTTCAAGTGGTCGCATCCCTCTAGAATACATCAACGACGCGTCTGTATTCTCGCACGAGAAAATTGGAGGTTGTTATTTTACTCACTCATTTGTTTTTATTTTCTTTTTCTTTTTCTATCCTTCATATTTTTTATTTCTCACCTTAAGAAGTCTTCTATTTCTATTCTTTTTTACGGCTAATTTTTCTTTATTTTTATTCTTTCAACTCTTTACTTATACGCATCGTCAATTCGTCTCCTGCTTTCTCTTTTATTGCAGACTTAATTTAACGCCTCTTTGACAAACACTCAGAACAATTCGGTTTGCTGTGAAAATTCGTAGAAACCAAAACTATATCACTGGTGACCACCTTAAATTTATTCTAACTTAAAGTATTAACAAGTACTCAAAATGATATATTATCGTATAAGAAGATGTTAGTAATATTTCTTTTTACAGGTTTAGGGAATGAATGGGGAGCTTCTACTACTATGAATGACTCACGTGATGGAGTAATCAAAGAATTAGGTTCTTACTTATTGCAGGTAACGTAATATACTTAATTAAATTATGAGAAACATAATTTTTTTTGTATATATATATGAATAGAACATTCCATACAACGTTAACCATTTCATTACCCGACCCTGTCAAATAGGCTAAAGTTTTTCTGCACTGTCATAATTTACTAAGAACCTTCACATGATTTAGAAATATATAACGCGAGCGCGTGTGTGTTTGTTACTTTGAACTACTTTTGAATAAATAGTCCCATTGAAATCAAGTTTGGGACATTTGAAAGACCTCAACGTAAGTTTTACTTATATATTAAACTTTGGGAATTAATTAAGAGTACTTAAATCTATAAATTTGAAGAAATGTCGAAAATGAAATTTTGAAAAAAAGTTTACGTCAGTAAATAGCCAACCTTGACACAGTCTAGCATTATTATAAGTCTTCAAGAGCTATTTAACCAAAAAAATTTTCGATCAGAAAAATGAATACAATAAGACAAAAAATCGATCGATTAAAAAATCTTAATTTCCTCACAGAAAAAATTAAAAAAAAATTTTTTTTCGAATAGTTTTGAAAAAGCTTTACTGATTGACTTCAAAATAGAATCACATTTGAATCTCAATAATTCTTCTGAAAGCTGTATTGCATGTTTCAATTGGTCGATTCGTTCTAAAGATATAATGTGACAAAAAAAAGTTACATTTTGACACACACACGCATGCGGACTTCCTACTAAAAATATTCAGAATAGCTTTCTTTAATCTCAAAATATTGAGCGCTGAGGAAGACTTAATTTTGGGAAATCGGGCAAAAGCCAATATCTTATCTATTTTTAAAAAATTTGAAATTTTCCAAGCGGAAGGTTTAAAATCACCACATTAGAATAGAAAGTAAATTATTTCCGAGAATAAAATAATAATAAATAGATTCTTAGAAGAAAATGCAAAAAAATTTCTTAGTAATAAAGTGCTCTCTGGTATACTGCACATTATGAATCGTGCAACATTTTTGTGAAAAATATAATGTTATAGATATTAACGGTAATCTTCACTAATATTCTATTTTCCGTATATGAACTAATTCGATAAGTTTCTGTTGATTTCATTTAATACTGAATTTTTTTTTTCTTCATAGTGAATGAATTTTAATATTTTGCTTTTACGATTGTAGACTCTCGATGGATTTATATTCGTAGTAGCACCTGATGGAAAAATAATGTATATTAGTGAGACTGCAAGTGTACATTTGGGTCTTTCACAAGTTGAATTAACCGGCAACAGTATTTACGAGTATATTCATCCAGTTGATCATAATGAGATGCATGATGTATTGAATTCACCACCTCCTATATTAAATCGATCGCTTCTATTACCCAATGCTCATGGAAACATTGAAATAGAACGAGCATTCTTCATTAGGATGAAATGCGTGTTAGCTAAAAGAAACGCTGGACTCGTTACTTCAGGTTGGAAGGTAAGACTATTTTTTGAAAGTTATTTTTCAATTATAATTCCCATGTTCGCAATTCTACACGGCGGTTTGCAATTAACATAATTATTATACTTTGAGGGGATAGACCTAGTTAATGTTTTCAGAAAATCGATTTTTTTTTTTTGCATTTCTGATATGTGTATTATATATTTTAGTATATTCTCTGAAAATTTCAAATAGATCCGGCAATTATTCTTGAAGATAAATGCATATTCGTAAAGACGTGTCCGGGCGATCAATAGTAGGTTTCAAATTGTTACACAATCTTTCTTAGATATGTTCCACAGATATAAATCGAAGGAATAAAATTTCTGACAACTATATCAATTTTTAAGACCACTTGACGTTAGAAATTTTTTTTAAAATCGCAACTTTTTTCAGGAAGCTGGCATTTTGTCAATAACCAGAGCTTATATAATTTTGAACAAACTGTTTTTTTTTCCTCGTCGACTGAACTATTCACTAAGGTTTCAAAACGTGGAGATTTGATGAAAACTTGCATTCTCGAAATCAATAACTTCCTACTTTTGAAAATTATTCATTTTCAAAGCGCGAAGTTCAGAAGTAGTAAATTTTTTCAGCTCAGTCTCATATTACATATCTGCTATAATAATATGTTAAACACATTGCCCAATTGTGATACAGCTGATTTTGTTTTTTAGTTCTCTGATCATTCATATACCTAATACAGATAAGTTATAGCTCTCGAAAAATTGTACTACGACAGTTATATAAATAGGGTCATTTTTCATATGTAATCTGGATTACTCAAGTTTTACCTCTGAATTTCAATCTACATATATTGAGTATAAAAAAGTTTCATGCATTTTTTTAACATAAAAATAAAACATATGTATTAGTGATGACTGATGATCAATATCATAAACCATTAAGGTATATTACACTAGACTGGGCCAAAAAAAATCAACTTTTTTTTTTTAACTACAACGAAAATATTGTTTGGGATGATAAAATTGTGAAAATTTGAACCCTTAATATTAATATTAAGAGGTCTATCATCGCAATTTTTGATTTTTTTTTTTCCAGAACGGGATTTTGTCTCATAACTCCTAAACCATCGAAGTAAATGAAATTGACTTAGAGAAATTTTTTTAAGAGAATTTAATGGTCTACAAAAAAAACTAATTGAAATTTTTTGTCAGATGAACCGTTTTCTCATAACCACGCCCGGGAAAAACGGATTAGATCTGGCCATATATATAAAGATCTGCCTTAGAAGATCTGGCCAGATCTTTAAATTGTCTCTATCTGACGAGATCTGGCCAGATATAATCAGATCTGACCAGATATAACTCAAAAAATAACCTGGCTAGATCTGATCAAATCTGGTCAAATCTTTAAATTGCCTGGGTAAAAAAAATTATATATACTTATGCATAATCATATATGAAAAATGGCCCTATATAATTATATAGGCACAGATTCCAAATGAGTATTGAAAGTTTAGTTAAAGTCATTGCAAGTCGCATAAGTAAAGTTGAAATCTGTCTAGCTTTCGTAATCCGTTGACTGAATAACTACATGTAATGTTAAGTTTTGGAAACCTAGCAATTACTTTTTTCCCGCTGCTAAAGAGACGTTTGCTGTAAGGAAATTTTTAGTAAATGTTATTAAATCTCAATAGATTTGGTCGAAGTTTCATGTTTCAAAAAGTTCTAGTTTATAAACAACAACATTTTCAGTAGATTTCATAGATATTTAACTATTTCACTTCATGAAACCAATTAATTTTCAGATAATTATCATAACCAAACATACGATCAGGATATAAACATAAATTTTCGACACTTAGTTCACCAAAAATAATTAGCTTCTTTTTCTTAAACTTTTTGTAAATGACGTTAAATCAGTCAAATATCAAGGTTATGTAATAAAAACGAATGAAAATCGCATTAAAAACAAATGAATAAAAAATGAGAGTCTTTTGTTTTTCTTAGCGGGAAAAATGTATGTAAAAGTAAATCGTAAAAAAAATGAGAAATGATTGATTAAATCCAAAAGATAAGTAGCCCATAACCACCCTGTTTAAAATTTCCAATAGGATCCCATCAAAAGCGCTAAAAGCCACTTAGAAACCCATAAATTTTATTGGTTTCTAAGTGGCTTTTGTCGCTTTTGATGGGACCTTATTGGAACTTTTTAACAGGGCATCTACGGAAAATTCTGCGTCGAATGGTAGCAGTCCCATCCCGATAGATTCAGTAGTTAACATTTTTTTGCTTAGCTAAGGAAAATGTTTTTATTAGTTTAAGAATTATTGCATTTCAGACATTATAGTAATGTATTAAACCATTTGACAAAACCGTTTTAATTATAAAACTTAGAGTATCGGAGAATTGTTCATTTCAACACCCACCATTCATTAAGCATTAAGTCAAAAAAACAATTGTTTTTCAATTTTTTCTTTAATTTAAAAAAAATTGATTTTCTCGATGTTAAACATGTTCAACTATTGGTTCTATACTTTTTTCTTGTTTTTTGAGGATTCCCGTAAGTTTTTGGACCGGTGTTATGAAAAATACGACGAAAGAAAAAAAATTTTTTTTTTTAATTGAAAAGAAAAAACAGAAATCGGAAAAACACCTTTCTGGAAATTTCATGATATCTGTAAAAAATGTCAAAGTTTAGAATGAGAAAAAGAAAAAAGAAACTAAAAATGGTATTCATCAAAAAATTCGGAGTTTTATCTAAAAATTTTAAAAATAATGATGAAGATAGCTTTAAAGAATTTTTTTATATTTTTATCCAAAAAGAACATTTAATAACAAAAATTTTGAAAAAAAAAAAAACGTCCCGATAAGCCAATTTTTGAAAAAGTTATGGCAATTTAAAAATAAAAAAGCGGTTTTTTTGAAAAATTCGGAACTTTTTTTTGGTTGGGTAAAAAAATTTGAAAAAATTATGAGAGACGTTTTTGATAGGGTAGAAAAGGATGGTAAACTTTCAGCCAAATCAAAAGGGGTCAGGGTCAAAAGTGGTTGATTTGGCGTGGAATGCCCCATATGTATTCGAGAATATTGTCTGTAAATTTCAAAGTAATCCGGTAAATAGTTTCGGAGTAATGAGCGTATTTGTAAAGACGTCTCCGAGCGTTTGAAGGTAATTTAAATAATAGCCAAAATTTTAAATGCGTTTTTCTCGAAACGATGTTTTCAAAGTCGGTGAGGGATATTTCTCTGAAACCGCTTGACCGATTGACTTGAAATTTTCACAGGACCTTCATAGATACTTTTGTCAGGTAATGATCGAAGGAATAAAGTTTCTGATAAAAATTTCGATTTTTTTAAGTCACTTTAAAGTGTAGATTTTCGTGCAAAAAAAGATTTTTCTTTGGGATGCCGCCATTTTATCTAAAATCAAAATTTTAACTATTTCTTCGATCATTACCTGTATTTATCTATCCTAAAAGTAATCCTTTTGGTTTTTTTTATTTCTGATAATTTGGATCAGAGATATCTTCCTCACCGCCAGACACCTTTTTGTGGAGGACCTTCAGGAGATCTACTACAGGAATGACGGAACCCAATATTTTTATTAATAAAATATGAATTCATAGAATACATTAAATTCGCTTAATATTCATATATTTTATGTATATATTCAATAAAACGCCTCTCCAGAAAAAATTAACAAAAAAACACATTTTTTCGAACTTACAAGTGGATATAACCCCTTAAGGGTTAATTAATTGCCTCTGGTGGTATCTCGCAGAGCTCTCCGGTTACCGTTTGCAAGGCAGCCTGAATGTCTTCCTTTGTTGTGGTGCCGTCCAGGTCTCGGATCTCGATGTCTTCCTGTGGCCCTTAGCAAATTACTTTGGCATCTTCTCTGAGGATGCCCGCAATAGTCTTCTGTACGGCTTCGCCTTTATCGGTGCTCTTCCTTGACAGCGTAATTAGCATGTTCCTGGTCCTGGTTTTGTGGATCATATCCACCGTAGTCCGGACCTGTTCATCAGGGACGTCCGTCTTTAGTCGGCGCAAAATCTCAGCGTACTTTACCGTCTCAGCTGTATGTATGTGTGGTGTCACGTTAAATGATCCCCGGTATTTAATACCGCGACAACTAATACCTGTAATTTGATCCCACCGACAAATGATCCCAAGCTTTATCGGGGACCGGGGCGAGGCCCCGGTGAGGGTTGGGGGGCAGCGCCCCCCATTCAAAAAAATTATCGAGGTTCGTGGTGAAGCCTCAGAGGGGTCCGGGGTGGAGCCCACCATTTGAAAAGAAATGAATTATTATTCTATTCGACATCTAGCACAACTACACACAACATCCTTGATAAAAGGGCGCAACACGGTAACAAGCTTATGTGTTGGTCTACTTTCGAATAAACACACACAACGACCTTGATAAAAGGGCACAACACGGTAACAAGCTTATGTGTTGGTCTAATGTCGAATAAACACATACAACATCCTCGATAAAAGGGCACAACACGGTAACAAGGTTATGTGTTGGTCTAATGTCGAATAAATACATACAACATCCTTGATAAAAGGGCGCAACACGGTGGGTGGGATCAGTTGTCAGTGAGATCAGTTGTCGATGGGATCAGTTGTCGATGGGATCAGTTGACGATGGGGTCAGTTGTCAATGGGATCAGTTGTCAATGGGATCAGTTGTCGATGGGATCAGTTGACAGTGGCATCACTTGACGTGGGATCAGTAGTCGTGGTATTAAATTACGGGGATCAATTATCATGGAACCGTGTGTGTGTGTGTGTGTGTGTGTGTGTGTGTGTGTGTGTGTTTTTTTTTTCCCTTTAGGGGGGGAATCCTTTTTACGGATTCTAGGCATAGATGTTGGCCCGGATATGTGGCGACTCGACACAGCGTCATACTAAAACTTGACGCTGACGCCCCTACCCACTAAACCCTAAACCCCTTTCTCTTCTATCCTCTGATCCCCCATGGTACCGCCGTAAGGCATTTCTTCGCGGGGGGAGGAATTAGCTGCCGCTCTTCCTTCTGGTGGCTAAGATATTTTCTTCCTTCTAGGTTCTGTCCTTTGCTCTTTTTCTCTCGATGGAACGCAGCTCTGTAAGCACTTCTGTGGCAAAAGTGTTCGTTGCATTCCAGGCAGCTTCTGAAGACAGCATTGCTTCTACGATTGACTCTGGTTGAATTGTCTTCTTCAGGATTTTCTCCAGCTCCTCACGTTGTTGATTGAAACGCGAGCACTCGAAAAAAACGTGCTCTGCATCTTTAGTGGCTCCAGGGCAGGACGGGCACTCCGGAGAGTCGTCATGCCTAAAGCGGTGAAGATAAGCCCGAAAGCAGCCATGTCCTGACAACATCTGTGTTAGGTAGTAGTTGACCTCACCGTGATTCCGGTTCAGCCAAATGTCGATCTTTGGTATGAGACGATGCGTCCATCTACCCGTCTCTGCGGCATCCCACTGAGATTGCCATCGTGCGATGCTGTGCTGTCTTTGTTCCGTTCTGAGTTCTTCTGCACTCAGTGTTGTTGACCTCTTTCGTTGGTAAAGGTTCCGTCTTTCTTCAGCTAGGATTCTGAGAGGTAGAGTTCCAGAAATGACATACACTGCTACTTCTGATATCGTGCGGAATGCACTGGCTAGTCTTACAGCGCTCAGTCGATATACTGGTCCAGCTTTTCTTTATGATTCTTGCAACTTCAGCGCGTCTGGCCAAATGGATATTCCATATGTGAGCACCGATGTGACAACTGATGATAGTAGTAGTCTCCTACTCTGCTTTGGGCCTCCGACGTTCGGCATCAGTCGTGCGAGACTAGCCCTCACTACTGACGCTTTAGCACTGACGTGTTCCACTTGCTGTTTAAAGTTGAGACGGGCATCAAGCATCACTTCCAAATATCGGATATAAGGTTGTGATGTGATTTCTTGTTCGCCGACTTTCAGCTTGATGGTCTCTAACACTTTTCTGCTGGATATAAGCACTGCCTCAGTTTTGTGTGTAGCCAGATGCAGGTTTACCGTATTCATCCACCGATGGAGTCGCTCGAAGGTGATGACGAACATGTTGTTAATCTCGTCAAGGTGTTTAGCGACGATTACTACGGCTACGTCGTCTGCATATGCTACGAGTTTTACACTTCTTGGCAATTTCAATCTCAATAGGCCATCGTACATGATATTCCACAGCAGTGGACCAAGTACAGAGCCCTGGGGTACACCTCCGGTAATATCGTACTCTTTTGGACCAATCTTCGTGTCGTATTTAAGAACTCTATCGGTGAAATAGCTGGCCACTATTCTACACAGGTATTCTGGAACGTTTTTCTCTCGAAGAGCTTGCATAATGCAGTTTCAGTTGGCGGAATTGAAGGCGTTTTTAATGTCTAATGCCGCCACCAGGCAATACTTCTTTGTGCCACCCTTCCATCTGGTTCCTGCGATCGCTTCTTTAGCCGTGCTAACAACCAGATTGATCGCGTCCAGGGTTGATCGTCCTTTCCGGAATCCATACTGGTTGTCTGCCAAGAGTGGGTCGACTACTGCATCTATTCGTTGATGAATTATGCGCTCAAATATCTTACCCGCCGTATCTAGCATGCAAAGTGATCGGTAAGATGACGGTTCTTCTGGTGGTTTTTTCCCTTTAGGTAACAGTACCAATCGTTGCTGTTTCCACTTACGAGGAAAAGTTCCCTCCTTGAGGCATACATTATAAGCGTCTAGGAATAATGTTGGAGCTGCCTTTATGATGGTTTTCAAGGCTAAATTAGGGATTTTGTCCAATCCCGGCGCTTTATTATTCTCTACACGGTTACAAGCCTCCAGCAGTTCTTCTTCAGTGACATTTGGGATGTCGTCCAATTCGCCTGGCGCCAACTGGTAATCGAAGTTGCGTTGCTGTGGAAACAGTGCAGTGACGATATTCTGAAGAAGTTGAGGACACGTAGGTGATGGCATTTGTTGTTTTTTCAGGTGGGTCATAACCACGTTATAAGGCCTACCCCACACGTCTTTATCCACCTCGTATATAAGCTCTTTCCAGCATCTTCTTTTGCTCTCTTTGATGGCTTTATTCAGTTCACGACGCGCCTTTTTGTAATCTGCGATCAGCTCCACTGAGTTGGGCCGTTGATAGCCGTGCTGAGAGATTCTTCTCTTCATATGACACTCTTTACGGAGGACGCTGATGTGGTTGATCCACCAATGCACCGAAGGTCTCGAATTTATGCCACGTTTACGAGGCATACTGGCATCACAAGCATGTGTTACTCTCCTCATCTGGTCCTTAGTCTGTTCTTCTGCACATCCAGTCTTGATCGGATCACCATCGAGGGCTATTAGCAATGCTTCTGGGTCAAACGATTTCACCTTCCAACCAACGATGTTAGACTGCTTGATTGGTCTCTTGAGGTTCTGGTCGTTTGATATTTCCCAGAATATCGCATGATGGTCGCTGGCAGTGTAGATGTCCAACACTTTCCAGTTGTAGTCGCCTCTAGAAGGAAGAAATAACATCTTAGCCACCAGAAGGAAGAGCGGCAGCTAATTCCTCCCCCCGCGAAGAAATGCCTTACGGCGGTACCATGGGGGATCAGAGGATAGAAAAGAAAGGGGTTTAGGGTTTAGTGGGTAGGGGCGTCAGCGTCGAGTTTTAGTATGACGCTGCGTCGAGTCGCCACATATCCAGGCCAAACAGCTATGCCTAGAATCCGTAAAATGGATTCCCCCCCCCCCTAAGGGAAACACACACACACATACATACAGACACCGTGACAACCTCGCGGGGATAGTCAGGGAAGCTTTCTGTGACCCTCAAACGTCGAGATCTGATGAAAACTCGATTTTTGCAAAACGGGGTGAAAACAATAACTTCCCGATTTTTGAAAATCTTCGATTTTCTTAGCGGGAAGTTAAAAAGTTCTCCACACGATAGGATATCTTTGCGATTCATGAAATTCTGAATCGTTTGATACCTATATTGTGAAATCGATTTTTCAGAAGTTAATTAAGACTTAGAAAAAATTATAAAAATGATGAAAATCTGGGCGGGCACTTAATTGTTATTATTCGCTTCACATTATTATTATTTCCCCCATCATTCTCCGACAAGGGTTTGAGGGGAATAGCGCACGCGCACTTCCTCGGATCCGGACATTGAATCCTCGCAGAGCTCATATTTTTTTTAACTTTTTAACTGTTTATTTGCATTAAACAAATTAAAAAAAAAATTTTTTTTCTCGTATCGATTCTTTGTTGACGGAAAAACATTTTTATGAAAAAAAAAAAATTTATTTTTAATTTTAACAATTTTTAATGGAAAAATTCGAAAAACAGAAAATTATTCATATCCCTAGCGGTTTCAACGACTCAGCGTAAACTCGGAGTTTACGCGGAGTTACGATGGAATATACGCCCTCTCGGAGTCTAATCGGGGTATAAGCGGAGTTTACGCGGAGTTTTAGAGGTGTATGCAAGGAGTATCGTGTGCAGTTACGACACGGAGTCACAAAAGTGTATTATTAGAGTTTTCGAGAAGTTTTCGACGAGTTTTTTCGGAGTCGCTATGGAGTTTACCTCGCGTTTTTGTTGGATATTTTCGGAGTTGCAGTGGAGTTTTTTTGGCGTTTTCGTCGAGTTTTTGTTGAGTATTTTCAGAGTAGCTAGGGAGTTTTTGTCGAGTTTTTTTCGATGTTTTGCGGAGCTTTATAAGAGTTTCGCTGGTGTTTTTTCGGAGTTTTGGTAGTGTTCTTATGGAGTTTACTCGCGATTAATAATACTTCATGGCATAAAAATTAAATTTGATTTCACACACAGAAAAAAAAGTCATCTTGAGTCAAGTAATATTTACTTGATCCAAGTATATTCAACTGAAGATAAAATATATTCTTGAGTTAAGTAAATTTTTTTCTTGTTTTGGTCAATCTTGGTTTAAGCAAATATTCCCTAGTTCCAACATGCTTACCAACTTGAGTGAAGAAAAAAACCTCTTAATCCAACTAAATCATTCTCTTGGTTTTTGAACTTGCTTCATGTACACACGGGCGTATCGAGGCCCGAGTAGGACAGCAGCCACGCGGAAACCCATTTTCAACATTAAATAAAAATTATTGTTTATGGAGCTAGAGTTCCAGGAGTC